TTTCAAGAGAGACCTGTTTTAGGGAGCACATGGTGGGGGTTAAGGGCCTTGCTCATGGGTCCAGAGTGGGGCGAATGAGGGTGGGGGCAAGTGTGGGTGTTTCACCTACCCCACCCACAATTTTTTGATGTTGTCGGGGCCGGGGCGTGAACCGGCGATCTTCGGATCACAGGCCCACCTCTCTAACCTCTGCGCCACCACTCCCCCCATATCGTTTTGCATTGTGGCCAAACAGTTCGATTTTGGTTTCATCTGACCAGAGCACCTTCTTCCACATTTGGTGTGTCTCCCAGGTGCTTGTGGCAAACTTTAAACAACACTTTTTATGGATATCTTTGAAATGGCTTTCTTCTTGCCACTCTTCCATAAAGGTCAGATTTGTGCAGTGTACGACTGATTGTTGTCCTATGGACAGACTCTCCCACCTCATCTGTAGATCTCTGCAGTTCATCCAGAGTGACCATGGGCCTCTTGGCTGCATCTCTGATCAGTCTTCTCCTTGTTCGAGATGAAAGTTTAGAGGGACGGCTGGGTCTTGGTAGATTTGCAGTGGTCTGATACTCTTTCCATTTCAATGATTGCTTGCACAGTGCTCCTTGGGATGTTTAAAGCTTGGGAAATCTTTTTGTATCCAAATCCGGCTTTAAACTTCTCCACAACAGTATCTCGGACCTGCCTGGTGTGTTCCTTGGTCTTCATGATGCTCTCTGCGCTTTGAATGTTAAATGGACTGTACTTATATAGCGACTTTCTATCTGATCAAGACACTCAAAGCGCTTTACACTACAATCTGTGTCCTCATTTACCCATTTATACTGCACTCTACTAGATCTCTACAAAGCTAATTGAACAAATCATTCTAAAGAGACTAATCAGTGCTTTACATCACATTCATACACCAATGGGACACACATCGGAGGCGATGAGGGGTTCAGTGTCTTGCCCAGGGACACTTTGGCATATGACTGCTGGTGGATTCAAACCCCCAACTCCTACATTGGAGGACGACTGTTCTAACCACTCAGCCACAGCCGCCCAAACAGCCGCTTTGAACAGAACCCTGAGACTATCACAGAGCAGGTGCATTTATACGGAGACTTGATTACACACAGGTGGATTCTAGTTATCATCATCAGTCATTTGGGACAACAGTGGATCATTCATAGATCCTCACTGAACTTCTGGAGTGAGTTTGCTGCACTGAAGGTAAAGGGGACGAATAACATTGCACGCCCCACTTTTCAGTTTTTTATTTGTTAAAGTTTGACACATCCAATAAATTTCATTCCACTTCACGATTGTGTCCCACTTGTTGATTCTTCACAAAAAATTAAAATTTTATATCTTTGTTTGAAGCCTGAAATGTGGCAAAAGGTTGAAAAGTTCAAGGGGGCCGATTATTTTTGCAAGGCACTGTATAAGTAAAAAACACTACACACCAGTGTTAAATCACACACATAGTAGTCATAAACAAACTTTGGAGCACAGTCCAGCCGACCACGCGGTTGGAAGCCTCCCAACAAACGGGAGCGGAGCGAACGCTACCGCTAACCAACGGCGAAATATAAGTAAAAACACTACTCATCAGTGTTGAATCACAAACATACTCAGCCTGGCTCAGCTCAGCCTGGATTTGCACCTGCACTTTAGGACCGATTCTGGAGACGTGTCCAGAATCCAAGTCCTGCTACTGAGAGTTCCGCGATGAGTTAAACTCAAAGCTCCTCAGATAAATAAAATAAAATTATTATTTTTATATATGAAAGTTTCTGTTAACTTATTTTATATATATGAATATTTCTGTTCAGTGCCCTGAGACAACTTCTGTTGTGACTTGGCGCTGTATAAATAAACTGAACTGAATTAAATCTGATGAACCAGATTCTACAAAACATCTACAGGTCCTTCTCAAAAAATTAGCATATTGTGATAAAGGTCATTATTTTCCATAATGTAATGATAAAAATGAA